TACTAGCGATGCACTTGTTACTACTAGCGATGCACTTGTTACTACTAACTTCTTGTTATTAGATTTGTTTCAACGAAATCGATTTGTTTCTTTCGCGTTCACGGTCGTTTCCACAGCCAGGCTCAAATTGCGTGGCTTCCACTTCGATTGGGTGTTTGTTCTGCTGCAAGGCCAAGAATCGAAGAGAAAGACCTGGATACGTGCTCTTTCTCTAAGAGACGTCTTTCTAGACGTTTTTTTCTCTTTCAGGGATGCAATGCTGAGAAAGTCCGGCCCATCTCCGAGAGAAACAACGAAGACGTGAGTTGAGTCGAGTCGAGTCGAGTTTCGAGGAATGCCTTCACCTTCATTCCACCTCCACCCTCTTACACCGTGGAGAACGAGGCGTCAAACGAACCGAAGGTTTAAAAAACGACACGATCCAGAGATCCGTTTTTGTGTCAAGTCGATCGTTCAATTCTGAATTTTCATAGAATTCTAGAAATTCAATTCTACTTCAAAGGACGCGACTAGGGGTTCCTGGCATCACTATACTAGGAGCAAGGGCCTTACTACTAGGAAGCTAGTAGAAACAATAAGCTACTAGGAACAAGTGCATCGCTACTAGTAACTTAGTAGCGAATTAGGAATTAGGAATTTAATTTTGCTTCAATTCCGGTTTTTCGAGGACGAAATGCATTACCTCATGGAGGACGAAACGAGAACGAGACGTCGCTCGAGTTCACAGAGTAGCGTCCTTTGCCTGTTCCAACCGTTCGATGAAAAACACTTCCTTTCGTAGCGTCCTTGTTACTAATGCCTAGTAGCATCTAGTAGCATCTAGTAGCAATTAATGCCAATGAAGGCTTTGAAGTTTTCCAAAGTGTTTTTGCATGTTCTGTTTTCTCAATCCGTTCACAACCGTTGGGTTCTCTCTTGTCCGGACCCCCCCTCTGCGGCGCTGTCCGCTCTTCCTTTCTTCCTTCGCCTTGTCCCATTGTGTTGCGCGTTGTGCGTTTCAAAAATATCGAGTTTTGCTCATTGGGAGTCTATAGTAGCTTCTTGCTAGTAGAAGTAGGGCGCCTTGTTACTAGGAGCTTCTTGTCCCTACTAGTAATGCCAGGAGCTACTAGTAGCTTCTTGCTACTGGTAAGGCACCTTGCTACTTGCGTCCTTGCTCGTAGCGATGCATGCACCTTGCTATTCTTTCGAAAGATGGATGCTACTTTTCTGCGTGAACCTGGAACGGTGCCGCTGAACGGTGCCGCTGGGGGCAACTACGACGCTGCCTAATGGAGCCGAAAGAAGCGTTCCCTTGTGCATCCACGAAGAACCCACCTCGATTTGGTTAGCGACTGTAGGCTCACTCTGGTTGTGTGAATACGCTCGACTCTCCGTCAAAATCGCCGCACTCTTCACTGCCGGTATCACTGCCATTCTGATCTTGTTCTTTGTAGCGCGACCTAAGGGCTTGGAAATTGACAGCCTACGGCCTACGGCCTGCGCCTACAGCCTGCTGTTCGTTTTCTGTGTTCGAAAAAGAAGAACAGCCATGGCGGCATGGCGGCATGGCCCCAAGGCATGGTAGAGGATGCTACTAGGAGCAAAGGGCATCGTTACTAGGAGCAAGGACGCTACTAGGGGCTCCTGGCCTTACTACTAGGAACAAGAAGCTACTAGGTTCGGTATGGCGTGGAGGATACGTGCGCACCCTGATGCAGTGCCGCTACCCGCTTGGATTAGAAACCGCGCGCGCAAAAGGCACAGCGGGGTCACAAGCAACACAACGACCGCGTCGAAGATTGAGATCTGTGAGATTGCCATGAAACACGCGAGGCCGAACTGTGGCGTTCAGATGTTGAACGGATCTGAACCGGAAAGCTGGTCGCTCGCGCTTTACTGGCGACGTTTTACATATCGCAACAAGTCCAACGCATCCGTTAAAGACTCGCCAGCGTTAAAGACAAGAATTACATCACCGTAGACCCCAAACAGGTGGGACAACAACGAAGCAGCATTCCCAAGTCCACTTTTTAAGGCATCAACAAGAAGGGCGACAAGACCGGAGACAAAATGAAACAGAAGCAAGACAAGGCGGACACAATGACCACCAAGAAGGGAGACAAGAACGAAAACAAGAAGGGAGAACAAGAAGGGAGACAAAAGGAAAGAGACAAGGCGCACGCAGTGACCAACAAGAAAGAAAAACAAGCCGGATGCAAGGCGGACATTCTTAGAAAGCTTTGAGAACCCCTAACAGTAGCCTGTTTGGGGAAGTGCACAGATTACCTGGGAGAAATGTTGGAAAGGGGAAAAGGACGGATGCCAGCAGTGCAGGCACCGAACCTGGGAAACAAAAGTCAACAAATCACTTTTGAGACAAAAGAATTGAAACGCTGACTCTGCGGACACCAGCAGTGACAGAAAGGGCGGACACATCTTAAGAAAGAATTGAGAACTCCTAACAGTAAACGGTTTGGGGAATGAAAAGACATGCTGCATTGCCAGCGGAAAAGGGCGGACACCACCGGCGACAGACCTGGGAGACACATGAATAGTAATGTCACCAAATTAAAGTTGACCCCTCAGATGGGCACCCTTCGAGGTCACTCTGGCTAGTCATTTTTTGCAATTTTTGAAATTGTTTTGATCATAGTGAATAATTCTTTAAGCATCACAAATATAACTTTACAAGGATTAGGAATTATTCAAATAAGAGTAAAATGACGCAAATATGATTAAACATGAGTTTGAAAAATTCACCAACGAGTAAAAGTATGAGTGAACCAAAAAGTGTTTTCACGAGTGAAGCCACGAGTGAAGTTGCAGTGAACTTGCAGACAGAATGAAAGTTCAACGTAGCCTTTTACGATAAGTTGACAAGTCTAGAAACAAGTCAACGTACAAAACACAATGAAATAAGTACTAAGGACAAACGGTTCCTTTACGATAATCGTTCCTGGCCTCGTTGAAAGTTCTTGAACTAACTAACTAGTAAGTTTTGGCTGAAGAGCTCTGTGCTGGCAGGGGTTGTGACAAAGTAAAGTTTTTGCAACTAGTGAAGTATTGGCTCAAGGCATTGAAAAGTATTTGTTGAAAGTAGTCAAGCTTTAACTGTGCTGGCAGGGATTGTAAAATTATTGAATCTAGTCAAGTTTTTTTCCACAGAGCACTGTGCTGAAAGTAAGTTTATTGAAACTTTAACTAGACAGTTTTTGGCTGAAGAGCACTGTGCTGGCAGGGATGCCAACCCTTGCAAACAACATCAAACTCAGTCAAACATGGAGCAGGGCGCGATTTTTAGTCTAGGCTAAAATTGAACAATACGTGACAAGACATTCAGCACAATCAGCATCAACCTCATCAAACAAGTCATGGTCATCCACTATTGATCTTCATGATGATTCTCCTGGCTGGAACGAACGAAGTGCACTGCTATTCAGTTTACTGTGCTGCAAGTCTGAGTCCCATGACATGGAATCATAGCAATCAAAACATGACTGAAACTATCAAGGACTATCACAGGTCGCAAACACCCCTTTTTTTGCCAACTTGCCCCACAACTGCGAACAACCTAAATCAGAATTAATTCAGCAAAGCAGACATGGAACTTGTGCCCAGTCTCCATCACAAAAACATGTCTGCTATTTTGACATCCAAATGAAGAGTTTGGCACAGCGCCCTTCAGCTTCGACTCTGATTAGTCACTGCTTCACTGACTCCAAAGAACATGCGAAAGGCTTCTCTATCAATCTTTCCAAGCTCACGCAATTGAGAGAACAGGCGTCTGGTCCGGACTCTTTCAACGCCAGGGTTTGACTCACTGCCCCAATGTGATGATGACATATCGGAATCATCGGAATTTCAAGAAATGCAGCATTTAGAGTCAGAGTCATCATCATCATGATCATCATCATCAGACAACTGCACTTTGCCAACAGCACTCGCTTCATCAAATAATCCTTCATTGTAAACGATGTTGGTGGAACAGGAATTGAAGAAGTGAATCACCACCATGGTGATTGCAAAAGCCACACTAAATATCACCATGATTGCCATGGCTTCCATCGTAAACAGCACGTTTGATTGAACAAGTTAGAACGCTCAACTTGGCTGCTAAGATCAAATTACCATCAAAACATACACCTTGCAAAAGGATAAATCAAATGCGAATCAGTGCAGGAGCTCAACACATACTAAGGACAAGTTTGAACGCTCAACTTGACTGCTAAGATCAAAACAACGTCAAAACGTGGGCCTTGCAAAATGATAAACCAAATGCAAATCTTTAAGCACAGTGCAGTAGCTCAGCACATACCTTTTTCACTTACAGCCACATTTCTTGTGTTTGCAGATCCAATCCAACGCGCCCTCCTCAACCTTGTAGGGCAAGCGTGTTGCCCAGTCACCTGAACTCATCATGAAACCATATTCATAAGACAATCAGTGAAAAAGAGAAACATCTCAGTACCTCAAAGACAACTTGCTTGTGAAGCCAAGGCACCTCCAACTTCCTTGGCATGGACCCTGTAATAGTAAGTTGCTTTGTCTCGGGAACCAGGGCTTGGATCCTTTTTGAACTGACCAACAACTTTGCCACATTTCTCAACATTTCACTGTCTCCCATTGAATGACTCCTTTCTTTGGTTGAATTAGCCCACGGTGGCTGGGGGCCACTGTTGTTGCTTCAGAACCTTCAGTCTGAGTCTTTCGCCTTGCTTCCTTCAGCTCGGGAGCCTCACTGCTGAGCTTTGGAGCGGGTCTTTGAGTTGATGATGATGAAACATGCCATTCAGGCTCTTCAAGGTCAAGACTTTGAAGTTCATACAAAGAAGCATCATCATCCATATTATGACCGATCGACTTCGTCTTAGACAACTTCTGCTTTTTGGCCGGCGGCCCCGGCAGCTGGTTGGGGTCAGGCACTGCCCCCTTCTGTTCATCAGCAGCGGGCACAGTGCCCTCCGGCCAAGGCTGATCTCCAGCAAAGGCTGATGAGCAGTCAATTGCGATGGCAGATCGGCAGGCACTGTGCTGGCGTGCGACGGCTCAGCAGCAGGTGCTTCCGCTGCAGGGACAATTTGCAAGTCACCATCAATTGCAAGTCGTCTGGCTCTTTTTGCAAATTCTCTGCGCCGCTGAGCTTCTTGTTTTTCTTTCTTTTTTTGACAAGGGCACAGGCTTTCTCTTGGAGCCTTTCTGATTCTTGTCTGACTTTGTCGCCAGCTTTCTTTTCTTGGGTTCATGCTTAGCCCTAGCTTCTACTATCTGATCGTGAAGCATGGCTGATCTTTCCTTGATTCTGCGCTTGGCATCTTCTCTCACCTGATTAAACTCTTTCTTTTGTTCTTCATCAATATATTCCAGGACATCTTAGTCAACATCATTTCCCAGGTCAGACTTGAATAAGTTTTTATTGGGCTGAGCTGCTTCGTTCTGCTTCGATGACCAAACCTGGTGGACCAGGTCCTTAAAAGCGTGGTCATTGGGGTGGATCTGGTTGGGCCAACTTGGTCATGATCTCCTTGATTGTGTCGTTCTTCCTCAAGCCAGTTACCCCATGTTTCACAGCCAGCTGCTCCAGCAACTTCTTCTGCCATGATCCACAATACCTGACAATCAAGAAAGAGCGAGTTGTACATTTATGCAGTATGTTAACTGAATGAATAAATAGGTTGCCAGGATACATTCGGTCCTTCAGCATAACACCCA